TGTTGTGATATTTTGTACAACGTGATTTTCCTGGGCTCTTAAGTGAAAATCATAGTTGATAAACATCTTAAGACTGTTTTCCAGAAGTGAGATCTGCAGACTATGGAATCTGCAGTAGGGGAAACAGATAAAGCACAAAAACTGATGTGTAAACTACTCGCTGTTTACTAACAGAGGAACACTTGAAAAACAGGAGTTGACTACTCAGGAGCATTCTGTTTGGCTGATGTTCCAATTCAGCCTGTTAGACAACCCCGTTATAAAAGTGCTGCTTAAAAAAAGTCATACCTTTTTCAGGCCAGTTGAGGAAAGACACACTTACCAGGAATGCTGGCAGTTGTGCAAAAAAAGGGAAAAAAAGGAGTTGTTGAAAGATTGTACTGGAGCTCCTCTTGCTGCAGCAGAGGTGACAGATGTTGGAAGCCTCTCACTTCAAACACTGTAGCTGTGTCATGTTCTTTCTTTACCAACATTTCTTGAAAATTAGGAAAGAGGAGTTTGGAATTCATGTTTCTTCCAATAGGCAGTGTTTGTTTTGAAACTGGTGTTTTTCACACAGTGAGACAGGCACAGTAGAAGGAGTTTGGCAACCAACATTGCCTTTTTAAATAAAATTAATCATAGCACTGCATATGTGGAAATAAAGGCTTTGAGAACTGTTATGAAGGCAGTGCATGCAATTGGTAAAACACGTGCACTCTGTGTGCTCTGTGATATTTGGGAGAAGACATTTGCAACATCAATGAAATAAATACTGCTGCAGTAAAATGCCCTTGACAGGAATCCTTGGCTTGGCTAGCACAGTGCTGGAAGTTCATGTCCTGGTGCCCACACTGTCCTCTGTCCTTGTGCTGACAAGCACAGAGTGGAACAGCCTGGCTGGAGCCACGTCCTGGACTGCCCCTAAGGACTTGTGCAGGATCCTACACCTAGGGGTACCTCAGAGAATGGACACGAGCAACTGGGATGTGCATTGCAGTATTACTGGTCCCAGTAGCAGCAGCAATATTAGCAATATTGAGATGTTTCTGAGCACCTGGGCATGGTGAACGCCGTGGACATTAGTTTGATTTTTGGGGTTCTTGTGGGAAATGTGCAATGTCAGTGAGTTTTTCATGTCCCTTACTTAGTATTCTTCAGGTTTTTCCCTAATTCTACAGTTCCTCAGTTTAGATTGGCAATAATATGTCAGTGTTCTTTTAAAAATGTTTCTGACCCTTCTGCTTTAAGGCACACAGGGGACTGTAACCAACCAGCCAAAGCAACAGTGGATTGTTCCAAGACAGCCACTCTGTGCCTGAATGCACAGGCAGCAATAACCAACTCAGACCTTTGCTCTGCCTTAGTTCTGTTCTGAGTCACCACCAGAACCAAACGCCCCGTTTGCTGTGTGCATGCCCCTCTGTGTACTTTAAGCTAGTATTTTATGGACTTTTTGTTTCTGGTAGGCAGTAGCTGACCAATTCTTTGAAAGTAATCAGAGGTGCAGTGACAGTTCCACTAGAAGACATTGATCCTTCCCATGTTCTCAAAGATGACCAGAAGCATTTATAAGTAAAAATATTACTTGGAGAGAAGCATGGCTTAGGACTGACTCTGAAGGGATCTTAACACAAACACAGCCTTGGGTCTTGCCCTTGTGTCAGTGTCTGCAAAAAGAGCCTGAGTAATTTGCCTGAGATCCCATAACAAGATAGCAGAATCAGAACTATGATTCAGGGGTTATTGAACTATGGTGCAGGATTTCCTCTCCTCCACTTTTCATTTTTTTTCTGTGCTCCTGCAAATACAGAGTATCTAATCTCTTCAGAATTTTGCTTAAAGGAAGAATGTTAATCAAAGAGAACCCTTGAGACCTGGTACAGGTGCTTTGAATGTGTTAATTTATGAGCAAATTGGTATAAAGAAAATTTTTACATTTAAGAATTCAAATGTTTACGTTCAATCTGGTTGTCAGTTACAGTGTCTTAAAACCACTGAAAATGTGACCTTTAACTGACCCATGACTATCCAAATTGACACCAGAAGGAGCTGCAAACTGGCTTCACTGTGAAATTAATGGATTCCTCTTCTTTGATAGATACAGGGAAACAAAGTACAGGTTTTAAAACCATCTCTTTGGGAACTGCATCTTAATGATATCAGAATTGAATAAATATATGCATAGTTTCAGGAATCTTCTAGTGGAGCCTCTAGGCTTTGATTTTTACATCTGCTTTTCTGTGGTTTTGTAGCTCACCTCATGCACTAGCCATTCAATAAATATTTTATATTGCTACAATAGTTTGCACATTTATTTTTAATGACAAAAGGCTCCCACCCTCTTCACATCTGTGTTGCCAGTATTTGCATAACTGAGGGCCTGCAGTGGTAAGTGAAGGCAGCTCTCCTCTAGAGCAATACAGATTGCCAGGCCTGGAACACCAAAGGGAAGCAGTGAGACAGTAAAACATTTCCAAATTCAGTCAGTTCTTTGCAGTGGGGGTGAGAGGATTAATTGTAAAAACAAGACAGCTAAATCAAAATTATCTATTAAAAAAAATTACAATTATTATAATTAGTTATAAAACTAAGATTTCCTGGAAAGTTGTGGCAAAAGTACCATTAATAAAACACATAAATACTTGGTAACCTAAAGGATAGCTGGTTCACACTCTGAGAAACAGCTTTAGCAGAAATTATTAGTTAAGAAATGTGACTTGTAGTCTAATGGAATATCCATTGTAACAGGTAAAAAGGAAACTCACCTCAAAAATTATTGCATTGTTTAACATGCTGGCCCTTTAGTGTCTACATTATCTTGTCCATATAGGTTTGGGTTTTTTTTAATATTTATGGGGAAAATGAAGTCTGAATGTCAAAGACTTCTAATCTTTATTGTTAAAGGATTCAAACTTCAGTCAGTTCCATTTATGTTGCTGGAGACATCTGCAGGAAGTGTGAGCCAAGGTATCCACTTACCAATGACCGATGATAGCACATGGAAAAGATATTTAGATCCCTAAAGTAACACAGAGGTGCACAAGGAGTTTTTAGACCTTCACATCTACCTAATTTCTGAAAGATGTTTGTTCAGGAAATGACCAGCACCTGGTCTGTTATAAAATGGATCCTATTGAAATAAAAGGAGGTAACTAATCCAGAAGACTTAGATAAGGGGAAGGGTGTTTGATGTGGACACTGGGGCCACTTTAGGCTAGTGGTAAGATCCCAAGGCTTCAGAGAGGTGTTTCCCATGGCAAAGCAGGAGCCCAGGCTTGAACCTCATCCCAAACCTCTCATGAAATTCAGTTGTGCTACCAACAATCTGCCTGGATCCCTCCTCTGCAGAGATAGCTTTGAAGTGCACATCAAGGCACATCTGTCCTCTAAAGCACCACTGAAAACCTTGGAAGCCAAACTACTCTTTAAAATGTACTTTTAAGCAAAGTTTGGAAGATAGTACTGCAAGGTAAACAGAGGGTGCAATATGCTTTGTTTAACTTGCTTAGCATTTTAAATCTCTCAATCCTGACATTTCTTCATAGCATAAAGCTCTCCAGATCAGGTTATATATTATGCATTGTAAAACTCTAGCAGTGAAAACAAACATTGTTTCCAGAGTCATCTGTTTGCAATTTTCCTTGATTACTCTTCCAATAGGTTTCAAGCTGTGGATTGAAAGATTTAATGTTCATATGGATAGAATTTGTTCCTTTTCTAATGATAACTTTTAGTTACTTTACTCAGTCTTAAGTCAGTCTGCATTTTATTTTTGTCAAGACAAACGATTTTGTCATCTTAAATCAAATTGTCATGATTGTCCTCAGCAATCTGTCACAGCAGAGTTATTTTTGTCTGGCTGTTCTGACAGCCAGCTCCTAAAAACAGCATTTGAGTGTGTGTGAACAATGTTGGATGGTGCCAGTGGGGGATCAACATAGGGATGTCATAAAGGACAAGGATCTGTAGATGAACTTGGCTTCCAGGCATTACAAGAATTTTGGATGTAAGGAGAATCAGAATCAATAGAATGGTGTCCCCAAAAACAGGCACAACAAGAAGGAGCCATTGATTGTAAAGGACAGGGAATGGGATGGGCTCTGCTTGGGGAATGGGAGCAGATGGAGGAGGACACGGCCCCTTCCAGCTTTGGTGCCCTCTCAGACTCTCTGTGGCTGTCACAAGGCACAGCCAAGGAGGGGAGGTGCAGGTGGTGATGGAGATGTTGTTCCATGGCACTTCCCCTCTCCTGCTGATGAATTTAATTGAAGGGCTTTGCTGTGAACCCTGAGCTCCTTGTAATTCCTTCTGAGAGCACAGGGAACAAAGCAGGGCTCTCCTCTCCCTCACAGCCCTTTGCACAGGGGCTGCACTCACATCTCTTCTCTTCCCTCTCTGTTGAGGATAAAAACTTAAAATCTTCAAGGCTCCTTTCTACATTGTTTTCTTTGCTTTTGATCATTTATTGTTTTTATTGCTATTAACAACACAAAACTGAACTTTTAGTACTGGGAGTTAGAATGAATACTATGGAACTCTGACAGAATTATAGCAGATTTGTACATATATGGCTTTACATTGAATAGAGTAAGAACTGGAACTAATTTGTTGTTACAAAAGTAAAAGTACAAATGTCCTCAAACTAATATCCCAGAACAAGAGTGATTCTGAGGACACCTAACTATGCTAACATTATATGTTGAAAGATGAAAGAGCCTTTAATTCTAACTTTTGCAAATAATCCTTTTATGATTTATCAGATTTTAAGAGTTGTTTCTTAATTAAAAACATATTAGTTGTATATGAGTTTATTTCTATGTATAACTTTTAAAGAGTTGTACTTCAAATTAGCTTAACACCATCTAGTACAAATTAAAAATTGGGTAAACTGAGTCAATGAGGAATGTAACTAGTGACATTTTCTATAAACAAAAAATTGGGTAAAAACTGTCTCATGGTTGTTTGCTGTTCCCAGATGGAACAATGATAGTTCAAAGCCAGAATCCAGCACACACAGCTTTCAGGTAAATTCTGTGGTTTATAGGTTTATTTGGAAATACTTACAGTTAACTTTTCCCTCTTCTGAACTTGTTACAACATTATTTCTCATTTTTGTTCTTTTGGTCTATTCACAATGGACTGATTTTTACATTGTCTGGTACATTGGCACCAGAGTCCCAAAACCAAACCACTTGAATGTGGAATTTGTGTAGAAAAAAATGGGATTTCTCTTTCCTAAGGAGAGAACACAACAATAAGTCCACCACTCAAGGGCTACATCTGTCTCCATGTCACAGAAAGAACCCAGTTTGATTTTTCTTTTTTTTCTTTTTTTTGTGATTGTTTAAAATGAAATTAAAGCATTTGGGACTGGGGAAGGTGTGAATCTATCTTTAAATGCAACATTCAAATTGAATTCACATGGGGGAAGACAAGAGAATTCCAAACACAGGCTGAGCAGCTCGTGTAAAAGCTGATCTGTACCCACTGAGGCTCTGGAAGCTTGTTCAGCACTGGGATGTGTTTGGGACTGGAGCTGAACTCAGTGGATATTGTCCACAAAAAGAACTCTCATGACAAATAACTTTTGCCTTGTTGTCCCAGGATTAGGGGACAGATGAGGGTTACATTTACAGCAAAAGGCACACAAAATTGAAATGTCACTTTTTATGCTTAATTATTACCACAGAAATTGTTATCCTGTTTTCCTACTCAATTCCCAGACTGTCAGGAGAATCATCAACCTCTTGAAGGCAGGAAGTTGTTGTGTGATCTGGGTATAGGGACTGGAGAGGGGAGAAATTTCCAGGTTTTGGTCATAAAGGAACATTAGGAACATTAAGCATTCTTCACAACAAATCCTGATTCTTTTTAAAAAAACCCAAAACTATACAATGTCTTTTAAAAAAGAATATGGAAAAATGGCATTTGTAGTGGTTTTATACAATAAATAATCTATTTTCTATAAATGTACAAAATCAGTTATACAGCAAGTAAGAAACTGATACAAATGCAATAACTGAAAGATATATTTAATTTTATAACTGTAATAATTTATTTATGAAATATATCCACATATATATAAAATATATCATATGTTTTGGCAAAGACCTCCCTTTCTTGTTTCAAACAAAAACTATTACCACTGGTTTAAGCCCTATATAGACATTTTTACTGTTGATTTCTTTTCACTTTTCTTTTGGTCTCTATCTTTTTATAAAATATAATTTAACAAGATGGGGTTATAGTTTAACCTATGTGCCCTGGGGAAAGTCTGCCTGAAGGTCAGTCAACCCCCCAAAAAATTTGTAATGTCACAAGTAAGGGACTTCCTCTCTTTTTAAATAATATAGAACATGATTTGCAAAGGTTACTCTTTCTCCTTTGCTGACTCTTGCATCCTTGTAGCAAAAAGAAGTCCATAATTTCTGCATAAATCATTTACACTGAAAAATGTCCAGGGTTGGATTTAATCCTTATTAAAGTTTCCAGGTTATTTGGTGCTGGTGTTTCAATTGAGATAAAAAGGTGGGATCTGCAAAGCCTGGGGGATGTGCTGTGGCTGTGGCTTGTAGGGGCTTGGGACAGCAAATGGCCAGCACAGAAATTACTCTGATGGCATCAAGTTCCACAGTCCTACCCTTGCATCTGTAGGAAAATTCTTTGGGATGAATCACTGAAGTTCTGTTCACCAACTACAGTGCATCCCCAAATAATCACTGTATGTTTGAACTTTCCAAGCGCAGGAATAATTTGTGTCTAAATTAGGTAATCTATTGCATACTCAATGTATAGTCATAGCTTGCTATAGTTTATAATAGTATTTATATTAGCCATTCATATTTATTCTGCATAGATACTGTCATTTAAACATCTGCCACAAAGTTACAATATGATGATTCAGGCTTGCATACATTAACAAGAGGAATATTTTGTATCTGTTTATTCTTAATGAGAACTCATGTAGAGGCAATCTCCCTCTAACTCTCCACATTCTCCACTTGCAGCTGCCTGCACAGAGCTGTGGATGGATTCTTCAGACACAGAGCAAGCAGTGAGTGGAACAGTTTCTATTGTACTTGTTTAAATCACAGAGAAAATTGTTTCCTGAAGCTTTGCATTGCTGAAGTTTGGGTCTGCCTTTGAAGTCTTCCACAATAGTGATACATTCCCTGCCAGGTTACATGATAAAGGTTATCCTTTTCTGAGGCTCTCTCGAGGGGAGAAAAGCTTCTTCATACAGGTTCCCATGCCCTCAGAGTGGCCCTGCTGAAATTGAAGTGTTGCCTACTGCTGAATTCTCCACTGGCATCACACTGAAGCATCAAGTTTGTCCATCTCAAGGGAGAGTTGTAGTTTAGGTTCTTGTTTCTGAGCTCCAGCAAATAAATGGTAAAGCTTTAAAGAAAACAAACCAACAAATAAATGCACCCAAACTGTTGATTATTGAATACTAAGTCCCTGTTACCTGAGATAATTGTGGTTGCCCTTCTTGGCAATGTGTACAGAGTGAGCTCTGCGCAGTTCTCTGATTAGCTCCGCTCGAATAATTACAGCAATAAATTCAGCTTGGGGACTTCTAATCCAAGTGCTTCCCTTCATAGCAAAAAAATTGGGGTACTGGTGTGACATTTTTAGAAGTGGCAATATTTGAAACTGGCTACTGGGTTGCAGTAACCTCCCTATACCTGACATCAAAAGCAGATTTCACCTTTTCCCTTCTTATTTCCCCCACAAAGTTTTTCCTGCTTCTTTACCTTAACACTTCAGTTTTTACTGAAGCATTAAACTGGGACCTGTAGCTTAATTTGCTGCAGAGCTGAACGAGGAAAAACATGACAGACAGGAACAGCCCTTGTACTAAAAAAAAAAGAGCCAACATATGTATTGGCTTATAGCCAAATAATTCAACTTCTGAAGGAGTTACGTCAGCACAAGAAAGGTTGTAGCAGTTCTGTGTACAATAAAATTTATTTTAAAAATTAAATTAGAAAAAAAACCCTAAACAACTCATGGGCAAATTCTGTCCTTGTTTAGGAAGGAGTGATAATATTCAGTTGAAAGAACTAAGGGTTCTGCAAGTAAAAAGAACATTTATGGAAATATTTCTTTTTAACATTGAGTGTCTGTACATACCTGATTGTTCAGAATCCTCCAGACTCTGTGTGCTACTGAATGAAATTGTCTTCCTCTTCCCTGCATTGGTCTTTCTCCTCTGTCTTTTTCATCGATCCATGATTTCTGTAGAATAGAGATTGCCTAAACCTGTCACTGTGTTCTCATTAATGTCCCCATAGATGAAATGACAATTTCATTCTCTTTGCTAGACTGCATGAAACATTCTAGAACAGTGCAATGTTCAGCATGCCCCTAGCTGGACAGATCTGCTGTTTCAAAAGCACCATATCATAAAAAGAAACAGAAAAAAGAAAATTCCAAGCAGTATTGGCTGGCTCTGGCTTCTTTTCTTCACTTATTAAACTCTGATGTGACACAGGAGTTTTCTTGCTTTTTTTCTTCCTGTTCACTCCCCCATCTCACTGAAGGGGCAGTGAACAAGCATCAGTGTAAGTGCTTGGCTGCTGGCCAGGGTTAACCCACCACAACTGCAGAGAGGAGTTTTATTTCAAATCAATATCTTTTAATCAGTTCCTCTCAATAAATGCATCTTGATTAATTTATCTGCATGAAATGACTTCATCATGTGGCCAGGTTGCAGTCATAGGGAAACACACTCACCTTCTTCTGTCCTGCATTCTTCTGCAAAACTGCAAACACTGCTTGTCATGAGCATCCGAACAGGAACATCGGAATGAGGACTGGGAAGTACTTTGAGTCTGGCCTGTAGACCTTTTGCCTCTGAAGCTGCCTCTGTAGTTAGACAGTCCATATGGCACAGTTCTCCTGTTGTGAGAATCACATGTATTGTGTATTTTAGGAACCAATTAAAATTATGTTCCATCTCTTTTCTATTTTAGTGAAGAGATCTATTGATGGAAAGCAATAAATAGTGGCAGGAAAATCAAACCTTATGCTCATGTAAGTTCTCCCTGTACCAGATCATAACTTCTGCTCCATTAACTCAGGCTTTCACCAAGTTATAAATAAGCACACAGCTCTACTGGAAGGATTAATTGGCAGCTACACTATCAAAATAAAATTTGGAATACCTAAGAGACGATGTAAATACATGCCCAGGTTATTGTTTGTTTTACTCCTCATTCCTGTGTTGTGTTGGTTTCCCCACCCAATGCACAAAATCTGTTGCATGCAATGTCTTGGCTGTTGTGAAGTGATAGAAGTGCCCTGCTGATTTCACCAGAGCACTAACATTGTTCAGTTGATATGCAGTTCATGGTTCTGAGCCTGATTTGCCACTGATTTTATCATTGAGAAACTGACAAAACCATCAGCACGATTCATTTACTACATCATGTCTGGAACACTGGAGTTACAAATGTGAGAAACTCCCAGATAATCCTCCCTGTATGGTTCCACCTTTCTGTGAGAGATCCTATTCTGTGCTGCAGCACACCAAGAAATAGTAGGAGGTACCTCTCTTTATTTCCTTGCATGATTTGCTCTTTAATGGGTTATAGACAATATTATTATCATCAGAAAAAGACATGGTTCTCTACTGCCTGCTAACATCCCCAGAAAGAGTTTTATAGTTTGGATTGATTTATTAAATTACTCTCCTCCAAACTGTTAAAGAATCTCAATCAACAGCAGCTGTACTCCCCATGAAACTTCTGGAGACTCATAAAAGTTCCTGAGGACTTGAGAGATGGGCTAAGCAAGCCACAAATCCATAAACACTAAAAATCTGAAGAGAATCTCATGTTCAAAAGCAAGAAGGAGGAGGGGAGGAGTGAAGGTTAAAAAAAAAAAGCAAAAGGCAGGGAAGAGGAAGCCGGAGTCAATCTAGAAAGGTTACTGAAAGGTTACAGAACAAAGCCTGAATAATGAGTCTGGAACCACTACCTTCACATAGCTCTGCTGCTTTCATTTGCTTTCATAAAAACATCATTAGGCTGCTAATGGGAAAGCTGCAAATTTTCCATTTTCCCACACACATGGTGGGCTGAAATGTTCAGAAACATTATTTTCCTAATCTCTGCAATAATTTTTGATGCAACATCAGTACAGTTGATGCAAATCATTTATTCAATCCTCTGCACTCATAGTACATTTGTAACAGTGCACCTTGTCTTTCACAGCCTGAGCCTGTCAGGTTGATCATAAAATCATCCTGAGAGAGAGAGAAAATCACAAGCAATACTTCTGTGTTCAGAGCCCAGGGGATGGTTTTTCTCCAGCAGATCCTGGTCTGCGTCTATGCAGAAAACATTCCTTATTTTTACCGTTTTACTCCTATGCCAGGACACTGGGAGAGACCAAGAATATCCATATTTGTCTTAAAAGACTTTAGGACTTCATTTTGGCTTCTCTTCTCAAACCATCATTTAAAAAGCTTTTTGTTGTCTTTAGGATTAGGAGCAAGTTCCATTTTATAATTTAAGAGTATTCATAATTCTATACTGACATCTGCTTTAAAATAATGACAGTGAAATGGCTAATGTAGGGAATTTCTGACATAAATAATAGCTCCATGGTTGTATTTTTTTTACACATTCATGTTTTCTATAAAGTAAGAACTGGTATTTAGAGGCAGGAGTGGGGGAAAGTTCCTTTATTTTTAATAGTGGCAAACCCTCTGTGAAGACTGTCTGGTAAAATCCTGTTTTTCAACTTCCTGCTCCAACTGAGACTGAAATGAAAAGATGAATTTTGTGTGTTTTAGACAAATGTTAGAGCCCTGTTTAATGACAAATAATTTCAGATAAAAAAGCTTCCCAAAAGCTCTGTGGGACTGAGTCACAGGTTGCCCTGAGTCAGAGGCTCTGCCTGAATAGCCAGAGAGAAATGAGGGTATGAGTATGAGGGGTATGAGTTTTATTCTTAATTGCTGCAATTGGCAAATTAATGGACCAACCAGAATTGTCAACTTTCAATTTTACCTTAATCCATCACTATGTGAAATACAGTGATTGAGGAAGGGGCCCATTACCAATCTGCTGCCTTTCCTAAGAGACAGTAAATTCCAGCAAACAGGGAGGAGTGGAGAATATAATTATAATTACAAGTGATAAGAGCCATGAATCACAGCCTTAAGCAAAGGAGGAAATTGATAGTTTAGATACTGCTTGTGATCTTTCTAATGAAGTATATTATGCTTCATAACTTAGAAAATGTATTCATGGCTACTTCATTCTCAGTGGACCAGAAATATATGCCAATGCAACAACATTTTCAAGTGTTTCAAAGACTTTTAATCCAAATGTCCAAGTGAAGTTTTTGTGTAAGGTAATGTGCAGATTTGCCAGTCTGAGACAGAAATACAGCAGTAATCCAAATATGCCTGGTTTTGGTTTCTGATCCATAAATTCAAACCCAAACCAGATACACCTTAAAAGCAACCCAAAGTCTTTCCAACAATAATCATGAAAAGCTTGATGACCTGAATAAACACAGGGCACTTTGTGTCCCTTCAGTGAAAATGAGGATCAGCTGGAGTAGGGCAGAGGCAGAACTGGGGGGATCCTGAACTACCAGTTCCTTACACTGTGTTCCTTCTGGTTATGACCCAGTCCCTGCCCTAAGTACTGGCTAAGCCATAGAGTAATTTTTTTGAAATTTCTCTGAGGCATACACAGGTTTTCAATTAATTCATTTTTTTAAGGTTTGCATTTCATGAGAATTTAAATTCCTGACCTTTAACTCAGTATGCAGCATTTCTTTAGAAGAATAAAATTCTCCTGAAGTATGCTAATATGAGTTTAAGATATATTTATAGCTAAGGTGTTCTGTGACTCCTTTATGCCTTTCTTCTCTACAAAGTGGAGAATAAGCAAAGACCTTTCTAAATCAGCCTTTCCAAGGTACTACTTTGAACTGGTATCTGATTGGCAACATCCAAATCTGTGATTTCTGAGGAATTTCACTCTTTTGGGACGTTCACTATGATCACTCCAGCCAGACAGTGGGTGCAAGAAGGTCTGCATGCTCAGTTCTTCAGCATTTTCTTACAAAAAGGTCTGAGTTTAAGGAAATTGTTGCTTCTTCGGTATAAGCTATTTGTTCTTTACACTGTACACAAAAAAACCAAAACAACCCAAAAAACTACCACAACTCTCCAGTACTTAAAATTATTCCATGTGTTGTTATTGTGATTAGTCAGTGCAACAGATAATTAACTGAAGGTAATCTCATGTATAACAGAGCAGCCCAGAACTAATCAAGGCACAGTGTGTTCTTGTCAGATTGGGTATCAGTGGCTGAAATAACCTAGATTATTTGTGTACTTCATGTCCACAAAACACAACCAGAAAAGCTCTCCCCCTAAGAGCCAACTAGCTCTTGGAGCAAGGTGTTGCCATTAAATTAACAGAAATAGGCACTTGTTTGTTGAAAAAAGACAAGAAGTACCAAGTAATTGGTACCAAGTGATTTTTCCACTGAACAGCTGAACATTTGCCACAGAAAAAAACTGCCTGTTGAAGGATTAATACCTTCAAGTTAGATTGGGAAGTAGGATTTGCCCAAGTCCTGCTGTACCCCACTCACAGTGAATGCTCAGAATTCAGGCAGACAAATCCAATTGGTTTATTTTAATTTTTATAACATGTGGCTGAGTTTCTCATGCTACATTATAATTGATCTATGAGTTGCTATTATTTTCTACTTTCCCAGCCACTTAAACACAGTAGATACCTCCAGGGCACTGGAGAGTTTCAGGCAAAACAAAGGGATGAGGGGGTTGCAGCAATCATCTTAGATGCTGTGATTTCAGGATTCAGCAATATATTTTCTGGCACACACCCAGGCCAGCAAGGCTCCCAACAGTCTCCAGTGTTTTCAGACAGTCCCAAAATGTATGGGATACCTGTAAGGACTAGAGAGCAAAGAACACAGGAAGGAAGCAAAATTTACCATCCTCCAAGTGAGACAAAATATCCCCAGAATGAAGGATGATGCCTGGGGGAAATAACAGATATTCCTGTGTATATTTTAATATAAAGGTGCTGCAGTAGCACTGTGTAGCTTTACAGATGAAGAGATCATTGGCTGCTCTGGAAGTTGGCTCCAGCTCTTGCTATAACAGGCATGGGATTTTAGGAGTTCACAATAGAGGTACCTCCCATATTAACCCATCCTTATCATTATTTAAGGAGTAAAACATCTCCAGAGGATGCCTGACTTGTTGCTTTGGTCATCCTGTCCACATTCTCAGAAGCTACACTTTTTCTGAGTAGCTTTTGGAAGTTATTTTCAGATATTTTCAGTTGTTTCAGATGAAACAACTTTTATCCTTTATAGCCACACCTTTGTTTTCCACATCCTCAATTTAGCAGTGCTCAGTGTTCCTAGATACTGAACAGGCTTCTATTATCCAAAAAGGTGCACCTCCACAACCTTGCTATCTTATCCTTTAATTAATAATTGCTAATTTGCGAGGATGCCAATTAGTTTTAGTTCATTAATTACAGCTAACTTAGGTAATAAGCCAAGGATTCCACACATCTGCTTCATCACTCAGGTTCACTGACCACGTGAGTTCCTTGATTTTCCTCCCCCTGGGGCTTCTTGGTACCCAAGTCAGGCACTGTGAGAATCTGGAGGCTGTTTATCACTCTCCATCTTCCTCCTGTAGCTGTCAAAGGGATGTTACAGGTTTTGTTTCTCAAATATGGTCAGAAGAATATTTGAGTTGTGGAGTGAAAAGCTGGGGTGTATTCATTGAGGTAAACACCATGAAACAAGCCCGGGGGTGTCCATTAACATCCCAAATCCCCAGAGAGGCTGGGTAGAGCTCACCTGACCTAATAAACCAAGCCAGTGTTTCACAGAAATACCTCTCTCAAAACAACTC